CGCTAACATCCAGGTAGTTTCCATTAACTGATTCAGGAATAACTTCCGCAAAAATTTCCACCGCTAAAGATGCCAATTTCAAGATGTGGTATCATCAGGGCGAGCCGTTTAGGGCTGTAGCGGTATTCCTTGTCCGTTCTCTCTGCCAGTTTTTATCTATAGCCATTTACTCATACTGAAGAGCATTAGGCTCCCATTCATTAGTTCCCATCAACCTACTCATTCATTTTCTCTGCCGAAGCTGCTGAGCACATTCGTTTCTTTCTGACTGATGGTCATCGCACTAACGCTTTGAAAGAAGCAGCATATTTTTCCCATTTTCTGAACAAATTCTGTCGGCCTTTTCTGAATGTCTATTTGTCTCTTCATTCAGCTTCTATACTTCAGATGTTAGACGTCTACAATATTCTTCCATTTGATGATCCAGATGGTGGTGTCTGGAAGCAAGGATTCGATATCAGTTACAGTTCAGGTGCAGTGAAGCGTGAGAAAAGACTGGAAGTGATCGTGGTACCGCATTCGCATACTGATCCAGGTTTTTTTCGGCACTGTCGAGGATATTCTATCAGCTTTTTCGACTGAAAATTTGTCCGGCATTCCAGCGACATTTCTTTTAAGCGCGAGAGACAGCACTTTTCCCAAAAACAGTTATCCGCCTGAAAGGCTGTGCACTTGAAGCGTTCAGTTATGCTGCATCTGGTGGTACCAATTTTTGAACACATTGATCTGAATAAAGGGATGAGGAGAGCCGTTGCTTGCTACAGAGGTACCCCATGCGAAATTTTGCAGTAGGCCTGCACCGTTTACGCTGCTTCATTAGACTAATCAGAGCATGATTTTATAAAAGTCAGTCGCTCCTCACTCACACTCTTTGGATCGTTTAATAGCGGGTATCAGTTAAAGTGCCGCTTTTCGGATAGCTGCTAAGATTGCCCGAAAAAAGCGTGTTACCTTTGGGGTTATCAAGATGCAGCAATATTCTAGGTGAAAATACTCCAGTTGTGCTCTCCTGTGATGTTTGCCGCTGCTTGTTGTTTCCAAAGTGCATCATGTATGCGCCCCATTTCTTCATAATTTTGCGTCGGTTAGTGACAGGTGTTTGTTTCCAGGCTGGATAAACACTTTTGAAGAATATTACGAGATGCAGACACGTAACATCTTTAACAATATGATGATC